TCCAGGAGATCACTATCACTTGATAGACAGGTTGAAGCTATTTCCCAGGAAAGACGTTTGCAAACAAATGAATCGTTTTGACACTGATTTTTCTGAACAGCCGATACTGCATGAAACATACGGACATGATAAGTTAATGTTCACCATGTCGTACAAGTTTAATGGGGAGGAAGAACAGTGCCTCAAAAGACGGTACCTTTTCTCAACTTTTCTTTACTATGCCAAATTTGAAAGAGGACCGGTAGAACTGACAGATTGCAAGAAGGTAAGTTTAAACATTATACATTATATTGAAAAAATGAAGCTTAACGAAAACAACTGGCCAAATGAAGTCACGGACATATCCCAGACAGCACGTGAGCTTGGACTAAACTTGGCTTTTACATATTTCTGAATTGGTATGACAAACTTGGAGTTTGGAACCCACTACAAATTTAAAACAGCTTTGGTTAAGTGAACTTGTGTGAATGCGCCAAAACTAAACTTGTTTTATTTACATATATAACCTGGTTGGCCAAGTCCACAATTTAAACACCTAACCAGACCCACGACAAGCTTGTTCATGTGAGTCTAAAGTGAGCAGTGCCATATGACAAAAGAATTTTCCCTCCACCCCTACCCAGAACGCTCCTAAAACCTGTTTCTTTGTGCTGAACCACCATTTTTGTTGGATTTAGACTTCCTCACTCTCAGTTGTCAGTTCTCACTTATCTAGTTCTGGTGTTGTGAGTTACTCGTTTCGTTACTAGTTGTGAGTTTTGTTTATGGTTTTGATACCAAGACGAAGCAAAGAAGAATTAAGGGATTCCTGTAAAGGTAAGATTTGAACTCCATTGATAAAAAATATACTTGTGTTGGTTAGTCTATGATGATATAAGTAAGCTAAGTTAAGGAAACAATTAATTTCATTGCATCAAGAACCCGTAGAATTTTGTTTATAGCCTAAACCTTTTGTGCTTTAACCTTTGACATACTCAGCGCTTCACTGAATCGACAATGTCACTCACTATACTATAGGTACTCTAATAGTCTACTGCTGAACTCAACAGAACAGTGCCAAAATTTGTGTTTAACCTTAACCATTATAGTCAATACCTTAACCTAGTCAACAGATAAAAACAGGCCAAGGGCCAAACCATTAGTTTACGTATAAAAGTAAAATAGTAAGAAATAAAAGTTTGATAACAATTTTAAAAACAAAGGTAAGTTAACACCCTGTGTTTGCAACACCAACAAATTCCAAATAATCAAATGATTATAATAACAAATAAAAATAATGAAAAATGATTTAAATGATAAATTTCAATAAACCAAATAATTCTAATGCAATTGTATTTGTTATAGATCTTCTGAAGCAGGCGGTGGAGTTGATGGGTTCAGTAAAGAAGTTGAAGGTGAAGTGGAAGATAGTGGGCATTGTATTTATTATATTAATAAATTGTCTTGAAATGTTAATGTCTTGCTTTCTAAACCTCATATATAACCAATATTTTTTCAAGATCACTCATAAAATAGGCTGCATTTTATCATAAATCTTTCTTAGTAAAAAATTAATTATAAGAAAAAATGTGGGCTAGCAAATAAATGGTGTGAAACAGCTTATATGTTAAATAGGTATAAATTATATTACTATTACTATAGCCTATTATAATAATTATTATTATCTCTGATCATGACAGTAATTGAAGTATATAAAACTTCGTGTACCAAGATCTGAGTGAGTCTATAGGTGTGAGCTTGTTTGCCCAAGTCTAAAATGTGCTAAAACCAATTCCAATATGAGTCTAAGCCAAGTCCAATATGAGCCTACTAAAATTGGGCTTGGGTCTCCAAGTCCCGAACAAGTCCATAATGAGCCTGCTTAATCCACCAGACCCATTTTGTATCCATCATTCCAAGCTTAGAGTGGGTTTGTGCCCATGAGTTCACTGTAGGTTTGGGGTTGGGACTTGGATTGGACTTGGGGAGCCAAACCCATAACAAGTTGAACAACTGCCAACTTCGGTCTCTAAAACAAGTCAAAACCAAGCCTACAGACTTTGGTCCCTGAGTCTAAATCAGGCTTGGGAACTTGGGCCAATGGACTTGGAACAAGTTCCCAGCAAGCCCATTGTGCTGTTGGGGATATGGGTCGTGGTTACGAGTTTATTGTTGAAATATTGTTTTTATTCAAAGACTCCTGGCTTTTCGTAAAGAATATTTATTTCCAGTCAAAAATGTAAACTTTGGTCACCTTTTTAAAATTGTAAATACATTTTATATTTAAAATCCATGTTATGAGCAGGCTGTTGACTTGTGTTTTATACACAAGGGGTGTAAACTTTGAGTAATTGCTGATTTTAGATAAAAGATGATACTAATGAAGAAGGAAATATCTAAGAGAGGATAAGACCAACTCAATATAATAGCAAAACATAATATATTATAGTATTCGGACGAAAGATTCTCATTCAAGTTTTACTTTTTCAGAGTTTTGCGGAACATTTAAAAAATCATGGTAAGTATTTACAATAAGGATTACAATACAGAGTCAATACCTCTAGATTTATATATTGTCTACTGTTGGTGGGATACGAATGAGTTACTACATTGTTTGTTATAGTTATTTAATACATTATTTTTTCTTATACTTTTTCTTTGTTTTTTAGAAATTTTGTTATCATCGGGATCTTTTGGAATCATGGATTTTAACAAAAATTTGGATTCTGTTGGGGAACCTTCCATTCACACTTTTAATGTACCAAACTTGAAACTCAGGTGCCAGACGTACACCAAGAAAACTAAGAGCGGCCCGATTGAAGATTCCACAGAAGCAATAGGATATATTATATACGAGGATACAAAACTTAAACAGGATATGATAATAGAAAAGCTACGTCTAGACTCTTGTGAAGCCGGAGTTAATGGAATGTACATCAAAGAAGGCATTACCCCTTTAAACACGAGGGAATTCACACTTGTGTTTAAAACGACAGACGGACAATGCTATAGGAGCCACCTTACCTATGAACCACTTAGAGATAAATTAAAAGTTGGTCGATCCGCTCCTGACAGAGTCAATTGTCCAGATGTTTGGACTAGTGACGCTGCCTTGGCTACGAAGCCACCATTGTATATACGATTTTTGAAATTCCTTGGCAATCTTTCGAGGAAGTTTAGGCAGCTTTTCAAACTGTGAGTTCTGAAGATTAGTTATCCACCAAATAAACTACTTGTTGACTTATTAATGACTTATTTAACCTTAGGACCTGAGATGGTAAATTCCTCTGGGACAATCTGTTGGTAGTTACTTTCCTTGCGTCAATCTGTGGTAGTTTACGCGTTACTAAACCATCGTAAAGAGCTATACTAAAATCTGTTCTCAAATGGATATTCAACATTTCAAGGATTTATATATGATCGCATCGAGGAATAATTCGTAATAGTAATTCTTTTCAGAATCACATATGACCTGAACCACATGGGCACACCATGGGTGTGCGTTATTTCAGCTAAATATAAGTACAGAATGAGTGTATAATCTAATAGAGTGAGAAGCGTTTTGCAGATGTTTACTAACTGAAATCAGCTGATAATCCAGTTCGTCATTAAACACCCTTGTCATGTACAGCTAAGAAAACTTTTGATCAAAAAGCTACAGTAGCAGTCTTGCTGATTTGACTTTGTATTTTTTTCAATTTTCTTTCTTCTCGTCATAGAGTAATTATTTACAATGAAATACATGTATTAAAAATATTTCTCGAAAAGCGAAAAACATGCTCTATTTATATACAACATTTTCCACTTTCTAATTCATAAAACACCTTACTGGCTAAAAGAAATAATTACAAAATAAATTGCCGAATTGCTAATCAATTTACAATTTCCAAATTCACATTATGTTTACGAATTTACACGATTAAATTAAGAAACACAATTTTGAAACGGTATTCATCTATTGACAGCTATTTAATTTGTCCCAAGAATTACTTCGGAATAAAATATCAGTATGTCTAGCCTGTAAAAGAGCACTTTCAAGAATAACCCTATGTTTGATTAGCTATGTAAGCAATAAGATATCGCTTCAGTCCTGACAACTGATGTTGTAAGGCCTTCACCTCCTTTTTCGATAAAAGTTAATCTGCAATCAATACAGAACCACCACTGATAAGAACAGTCTACTTACAAATCTGCATTTAAAATGCCTACACCAGCAATGTTTTGAACTAAAAATTCGGGAAAACGGTTATTGTTTGGCTTTTTGTGGATGATCTTCAATAAGCATAAATTTTATGTTAAGCCGGGTAATAGTGGTCACCTTTTCTGAAAGTCGCTGGTTCGAATCAAAACAAGATTAACTCTGGTACAATAACAGATTCCATTCGATTTTTTTTCAAACTAGGATCCTGCCCGGTATTGGGTTTCACATTACCTAGAGGTTGCAGTACTATCACTAATAAAATCCATTTGGTGATTGGCGAGATTTGAACCCAGAACCTCGTAGACCGAAGTCTCACCACAAGACCAGCTTGTTCCTCTATTGACAAATTGAGCTATGAATTAACTATTAACTATATTTGTGCTACTTGTAAAAAACTTAATTATTAATGGTACAGTAATATGTAAAATAAATTCCTCACCCTAAAATCTGTCTTGTTAAAACCGTCTTTGTTAATATCTCTCGACCTTACTGTTAGACAGTATCATTAATCGATAGTACGATTTATTAATGTAAAATCGCCCAGAATTGTTCCTGAATCGGAATGGCTGGGCCGCGTTAAGGGTCAGTGGAGCCCTGGGTAAACCCATAAGCAGCGCCCCCTTTTTTCCTAGTGCGGGCGAGCGGTGGTTGGGTCTCCAGCGCCCCTGGACATATGCCCAATCTGCCCGTTTATAAAAGTGGGCCTGGGAATGGAACCAAAACCTTACTACACCTTACCAAACTTATTACCAACCTGCAGTAATTTTTTTATCAACATTACCAAGGAAATAACATGGGACTCAATAAAAAAGTATTGATGTAGTTGAAATGACTAGCATAATTTATTTTCATATTTTAATATACTAACACAAAGTTTAACAATACCAACGTAGCATCTTTGTTAGAATCATGCCTTACCCAATCTAAGAACGATACTATACACATAATTCAACTCTATTTGATTCAACTTAACAATAACAGTTTATTTGTTCTCTAAACACGCCTTGAGAAAAATGGTGCAACCTTCCTAATGTGAATAAATAATACTATACAATTCAGTGAAATATATTTACGAACAGGTAAATAGGCATGGCAAGACTAGTAACAAAAGCCTAAACTCCGAAATCGATGTTCTATAGTAACACATTGGTTTTAACTGGACAATATATTTTTTTGTAATAAACTACTCAAAATATTTACATACGCTAACAGTCTGCTAGCAATCATACAGTTTTAGTTTATATTTAACGTAACTAAATTTTTTTGTAAGCAATTTTATCTATGAACAATTTCTAGTAATTGAACTTTGTGTATTACTAAAATACAGGTGTTCAAACTTCAGAGTCATCTTTTGTGAATGTGTTCCTTAGATCTAGACAAACATTTGCTTGGAAATTTTAGATAAATATAGTTCAGACCATAGACATTCTTGGTAAAATATATTATTTTACTAAGAATCTGCTATTACTTATAATCTTTAAATCCTAACTGTAGATATTTTAACTATATCTAGTGTCAATATTATGTTTGTCTAAATACAAGGAACCAGGAAAGTTCTGGAACACGCTTTATAAAATAACCATACAATATTACCTCAAGGTTTTGTATTGTATGATTACCTACAAAATAAGTACTTAAAAAACGTACAAGAATGTTTTAACAGTTAACAAAATACATAGACCCCTCTAAAGTTTGTAAAAACAAACAGTAAAATTAATGTAATACTAAAGCAACTACGGATAAATAAATGCTCAAAAAAATAAAATCTTGTAAATAAACAGATGACAACTCTATTAATAATTTTTTAACTTTAACATTTTTTATTTTTAAAACAAAAATACTCTACACACATTCAGATTGACTTGGCAAAACAATTTTTATGATTGCATTTTATATAGTATATCATTCATAAATAAATTTTTACCAACCCAGGCTCTCTAAAATATCTACTAAGGCAAAAATCGAATGAGAGTCTATGTACAATGAGAGCACAAAAAGACGAGTTTCACGAGTAATCCACGGAACACAGACACCAAGCTCTAAAACTCTAGTATTGAAGCGAATATAAAATATTAATACTTCAAAGAGAACTGCATCTAGCTTAACTAGTCACCGAGAGCATTAAAATGTTGAGAATCTACAGGCCAAATGATTTTTTTCTACAAACGGAAACTTATTGTATGATTCAGTGGTGTAGCCAGCTCGGAATTTTGGGGACATTGATAATTGTTTGGGGTAAGCTAAAGGGAGGTTGGAGGCCCTCCTCACGTACAATTTCAAATCTCTTCTAAAACTCAGGTTAAAAAATTTCAAATTACATTCAATTATGTTATTAACTTTTACTGATTTATTATTTTGCTAAACACTTATGTTTCTTACTTTAATTGGAGGGTCCTCTTAACTTCCCTGGCTATGCCACTGATTTTTATTGCTTGTAAATGTCTGAACAACACACATCGATAAATAAAATAGTTTCAACCCAACACTATCTAGTATATATTTTTTAAATCGCTTAATTAATTACATTAAATAAAAGTAACCATGCTTTTTTTATTTCTAAAAATTATTTTGGTTACTGACCACCAGACGAGTAAGTACTAAAACTTAAACATAAAAAACGCAAATTTTAACGGTGAAAAAATTAAAATAAATATGTGTATGTATATTTCTAAAACGAACAATGGAGTAATTAGTATGAATACAAGTAGAAGTTATGTTATTCGTAAAGGGGAGTTTTATATAATTAGGGGGGTTATGGAAAATTGGGGGGGAGGTAAATATTCTTCGTCGGAATATTTCCAAAGGTAACACAAACAAATTACAAACTATTATTTAAAATCAAACGTTTGGTTGTAAAAGTTATCCTCTTTCCTAAAAACTATTCACATTTTAATAGTAATAAGGTTTGCATACTGACGTTCTGACACTGCCTACGACCTTCTCACATAATTAGAAGCTAATCTACCAGAAATCCTGAAAGATGTAATTCCAAGAATTGCGCCAAAGCGATTCTCACACTAGTTGTATGTAATGATAACATTATCACTTATGCTTTAAACTCTGCCAAGAACTATTATTTGGCAATACTATAACAAGCAGAAAACATAATTTTATTCAAATTAAAAAGGATTCTTTATTTCACTATATAATAATAGAACCATAGCATCAATCAGAAGTATTTTTTTTTTTTTTTTTTTTTAAGTAAAGAAATGTTTTTACACCTTTTTAGGTCCTAAAGAGGTAGAAATGAGAGTAAAAGTTTCCAAAATTTGGGTTGATAAAGGCTAAAAACTGGTTTTAGTAAAAATAATACTAAGGACCTTAGAGCAAAAGTGATGATTTAAGTAATACTACAAATCCAAGTTCTTTGGTTTTGTGTCACAAAAATCCCATTATCTGCAATTAATCACCAAAAAGAAACAAAAAACCTGCAAAAACACAAATTGATGTCCAATTGTAATTTGAGTCCAAAATATTCCAGACATAATATATTACACAATTCAGCATTTAGGAAGAAAATTACTAAAACAATTGATTTTGTGTCAATGGACCATAATTTCTCTTAAGTCAAACACTCAAATACCTACATAATTTCCAGATAAACCCTCTGATCTTACTTTAAGCAAAAGTACTAGGGTGATGCTAAAATAGCAAACATAATATGAATATAAGGTGGTGGATTAACAGTGAAGGAATGTTTATATACCAACAGTTGGCAGCAGTGACAGCTTAGGTACTCAGGTTGGCCAAGTTGCTCAAGAAGTCTTCTGGCGTCATTATGTGAGATCCTCCTGTTAACATAACAGATTACCATGAGAAATGGTAGATCAACAATGTTTTGATACCAACAGTTGGTAGCAGTGACAGATAAGGTATTCAGGCTAGCCATTAATACGTTCGCTGCTGACAACTCCGATCGGAGTCATGCCGTACTGACTCAGCGTGTGTACGACTCCGGTCGGAGTCACGGTTCAGTGTTATACAAGTTGGTCTACTGTGACCTCCGCATTTATCGGATATCAACTAAACTATGTCAGCATGTTGTACTGGTCCTATAATTAAATTTGGCGTAGGTTGGGTTTAGGTTGGTAGTAAAATATCCCGTAAAATCCCATCTGGCAACACTTTTTGTCCTGTTTTCGGGGACTTTCTCTCTTCGAGCCACATTACAAAGTTGGCTACAGATCCAGGCAGTGCTGCTATCTATGAGTTTTTCAGTTAACTACATCCACTCTCAGGGTAACACAACTCCATCATCGCCGATGTTTTGCCACTGTCAAGACTGAAATATTTTAATACCTATTGTGTTTGCTAATTCACTGGTGCATCGAGGCTGCGTCGCATTTCCGACCATCCCACCAAAGGGATTCTCGTAGCAAACGTGTTAATTAATGCTCAAGAAATCTTCTGGCTAATACAATAGACCACATAAAATTAAGGTATATAGGAAACATTCAATGGTACACATACATGGTGTCTAGCACTAGTCACTGGTGGCACAATTTACTACAACGCTCACGATACAAGTTCACCATAACCTAGTGCCAAGTGCAATAGAAACTTTTCCACAATGCTCGCCGCTCAGGCTCTTTCTTGCTTGTTTCAAGTATATTTCCCGTATTGCGTACTTACGTTGCACAGGCAGAAAGACACGGTCTCATAAGCAAATTTCCTCTATACCTTACTTCTCTGTGAATAGGCTAATACACATTTAAACTAATACTCACCAACAATGACTTCCCAATTCTTGTTGGCAGCAGTGACTTCGTAAGCGCAGCGGATCTCAGAGAAGCTGACGCCTCCGACACAGAAGATGATGATGCGAGGAAGATTCTTCACGGTTGGCTGCCCTTGTTTGTCCTTGTGCCAGTGTCCGTAGCGAACACTACGAAAGAAATCATAATTTATAGCTTATCTAATGACGTTTAACACACTTTTTTAACTCTTGACAATAGATTTTTAAATTGGCAAAGTTAATGTGTTTTTTGGCGTAAGAGGTAGTAAATATATTCAGGTTCCGAACACCATTTAATTAACTCACATCAGACTCTCAAATCAAGGAGTTCAAACATGTTGTATTTTTTTTTGCTCATATAGTTTTTTCATCATTTTAATTGTTTGATATTATAAGGCCTTACCTTAGCAATCCTGTTTTTTTATCCGAAATTAATTTCGGGCCCGAAGGTCCATCATCAGTCGGACAATATGATTTTAATTGTTTTACTTTTTTTGTATGAACATTACCGACGCACCTGGTGGGAGCATGGTAGCCTGAAGGAGCTGTTCGGCCGCCGAGGTAAGGGAAGTGTTTGGTGTCCAACTTGTCTTCAATAGCGTCCTCTATGAGATCCTTCACTACCGGAGTCCAACGAGACATCTGATACGTCTGCTCTGTGATGCGCTCCTTACGAGGGATCTGATACATCTTCTTCCTGTTGCCCTGCGATAAAAATTAACCTTAGTGCAACAAATTTCAGAGTCGATCACTAATTATTTTTTGCGTATGGTTAATATGTATATTTTACACAAACCAACTCACAATGAAGAGATGAGTTTTAATTCACAATATGTACAAGGGAATGATTATCAATATTACTCTTAATGTCATGGCTATCTACCCAATGCAGTAGTGAAAAGTGTTAGGCAGCGCTAAGCGATCTGAACCAATCGCTTAACCAATTGCTAGGTCTGGGGAAATAGGTGAAATCTCCATTTTTGAAATTTTTTATTACAAAAAAAATGAAATTACAAGAATACAATTCTAGGTCTGGGGAAATAGGTGAAATATCCATTTTTGAAATTTTGTATTACAAAAAAAATGAAATTACAAGAATACAATTCTAAATTATGTTCTTACTGTTATTTGTATAGGCTCACCATGAAAGCTTGTTTTATAGTAAATATAATTTGAAGCTTTCAGACTGACTGATGAATTAACCTACCTTTTAGTCCAATAAATTCTTGTGTACTATGTAAAATACAAAGAGCGGTTCTCAACGACACTCGCACTGAAGTCGATAACTACATCGTCACTGTGAGCAACACCGTAGCACTAATCAATTAAGAGAAGATGGTTGAGAAATTTTACTAATGCTCAAACTCTCAAAGAATCACTTCATGAACGGTTAAACTACCAATATCCTTGATAAAATGTACATACTTTCCGAATACTAAGCAATATAGTTAAGGTTATCAAAATACCTCGACAACCACGTTGACCCCCAAGTTGCCAAGGTTGACTATAGCCTGCTTCTCTTGCGGTAGGATCTGCGCGTGCTGCACCAGCTTGTTGAGATTCTCCTCTGAGATGCCGTTGCGACTGAGGATATACAGAAGGATAATCCTCATCTTGTCGTAGTTGGTGACGGCTTGGTCCAGCAGGATGGGGACGATGTTGCGCATGTGGTCTTTGATGCGCTCTCCTTCAGCGTCTGTACCCATAGCCAGATCCTGGGGAAGACAGAGATGATTAAAATTGTGACATAACAATTGAGAATATTGTAGCATCTCATGAAGGAAGTTACGTCATCAAAACAATAGTCAGATGCTTATTTTCAAACTATTCATCAATTTACTATTTTTATGAATTTTTATTAAGAAACATTTTAGATCTCTTTATTGAGCCTTTAGTTGTCTGTTTCTTCCTTGATTCAACCTTCTTCAAGCCCAATAAAATTTATTTCTATTATTGCTAGTAAAAGCTACACAAACAAATGTTTTCATTCTATTAGTCAACCAAAAAATTCTTTCTCAGTAAATTGAAGACACTGTGAGATTTGGGCTAGAGACTAAATTAAAACTAGAAAGGCTTAGGATAGTGTGGACCTCACTGGAAAAGTAGTATTGATGGACCCAAGTATTGATTGTGTTACGTGTGTAAGTATTATTGTGTCCTTTGATTGTAATGGTCACTTTGGTTAGAATAGAAAGTACGTAATTGAAGACTTTAAGCACCCCTTTAAGGGAATTTTTGGAAAGCAATAGAAGCTAGATTACCTGAGAAAATTCACCTGAAGATCACTCCAGTTTTGAGCTTTTACAGACATTTTTCTTCTACCTACTCTCTGACAAACTTTCTTTTACACCAGAACGAAATACCAGTGTTATCTTTTGTTCTTGTATTATGTGTATCTATAAGCCCCTGGACCCTAATTTTGTTCAGGTAACCTAACTGGACTCTTTTTCTAAAAAAAACCCTTAATAGCGAATTATTTCCTTAATCACTAAGACCGCATAAAAAAAAAATATTCACCGACATAACTCAAGGTCATCTTACCTGTTCGACCTTGCACAGCTTATCAACGTAGCCCTGGTAGGCCTTCATGCAGTCCTCCGCTAGATGAAGGTGGGTGGAGTACTTGCTCAGCTCCTTCTGGTACTGAGGCATCTTCTTGATCATCTGACTAAGATCCCTCATCGACTGTTTGTCTCCAGCCGGCATCCTCTTCGAGTCTATGAACTTCTTCAGATTTTTCGTCACGTTGCTGCAAAAACAAAAAGTCCTCTTTAATGGCGATGAAAATGAAGAATATGACTATGTACATACTCAGTGACTAAAATATTTCAAATATTTGGAAAGCAAAAAATAGCTGAGCTAGAGATCCAGAAATAACTACCGTAGGCCTATATAAAAAAGATTTACTTACGTAGAGACGACTGCAATGTGCTGATGGCGCAGCTCTACCCACAATTCATCGTTTTCATCAAGTAACACTTCCTTTTCCGGTGCTCCAGCTGATGCCTCATACCTACAAAAACAGTTTGGGTTAAGGAAATCAGCTGCTTGAGAAGCGACCATCAAAATGTGAGAACAATTCATACTTTATCTTGCAAAAAAATGTTGACTCTTGACTTTGCTAGTTTCGTGCACTCGGTAATCTAGAGCAAAAATGAAAGAGTAATCTTATCTATAGAATAATGGAATTCGGTTTCCGTTGTGAAAGGATTCATGGACCTTTCCAGTCAAGGAGTACATAAGTTGACTTTTGTAGGCTCAAAGATGAAATTTAGTATATTTTCTTAAATCTCACTTTTTTTGTAATCCTTGTCTCTTTGGAGTCAGAATTTTCGTGAGCCAACTGCATTTGACAGAACAACCTGTTGAAACTACTAACCTTTCATCTCTATATGTATAGCAAAAATCCTACCAATATAAAAATGCCTACTTACTAGGAAATAGTTGCTTGATATGTTTCACGCACAGTTCTCTGACACCGTTTAAAAAAGTAACTTAAAAATTATATAGCAAAATCTTAGCATGCAGCACATCAAACTGTTCCTTGGATCCTTAACTTACAACACAGGTTTTCATGACAAGCAGCTCTTTCTGATTAGATATGAACTAACATGTTAAGTTTACTGAATTTTCTCTACTGGACCTACTTGTAGACATCATTCTCTATCGGCAGCAGGTCGTAGGCCATGGCTTGCAGTGTCAGCTCGTGCAGTAGAGGAGACACACAGTCAAACCCTCGGTCCAGTATGATCAGCTGGGACCGAGCCTTCTCCGGACCCTCCCCCATGGTCGGCTCATCGGCCTTGTACGCGTCCAGCTTCTGCTGCACCAACTGCGCTAGCTCTGCGTTCTTCTCAAAGTCACTGGAACAGAAAGTGGTTAATAGATTTAATCTTACGTGGTGATTCTAAGCTCTAAGCATTCGTGACATTTTTGCTCATTGAATGATTCACATGTGTTAGGCTTGTTCTCAAGTTCAAGCATGTAACGGAAAGGACCTAGGCCTACAATTACTTCCCACTTAACTTTCACAAAGTTTGGGATTTATGTTTATGTGTAGCCTTGGTGCATTGTCAACAAAATATTTCTTTTTTTAAGCGTGGATTTCACAATTAGTGTTTTACCAGTCGGTTAAACAAACACCAAGGAAGCAAAGATAAAATTTCAACCATACAATATTTTGAATTACATACGTTTGGTAAATAATTGTATGAAGTTGAAAATCATAATTCGGAAACTCACTTGTACTGGAAACACAAGCATTCGCTAAACAAGGGTATTATATCTGTGCTATTTTTAGGAAGACTCAAATATTTATTTGAAAGTTTGTATAGATTTGATAACGACATTGTTGCTCGATTTTAAAAGCGTGAAAATGGCAACGGGACTCATACAATAAGTAGAGGTTCAGTGTTAACTATGGGTGTGTTCACAAAGAAAGCTGGTTACAAGCAAGTTCCAACCGGCGTGAGAAAAGTCCACATTGTATTCAAGTGTGTGCGTTCACAGACAAAGCTTGCCCGGCTAGCAACCCCTTGCAACAAGTTCTGACAAGCACGCAAGAACGTTTTGTACTTGTTTTCCGGCTCTTGTTGACCGAACCAGTCAGTGACAAAGAACTGTGCAGTATGGATGTCGATGAACTGATATCTCAAGTTATAGAAGAGGGGCTATTAAGGACAAACACCTCAAACTACATGCTAATAGAGTTTCTTGAGGATGTAACTAAACGAGGTTAACTCCTTGCTCATATAAAAAAACCTAACTTTGTCCAATGTCAATTGAGGAAATAGATGGTGATATTCCGCAAGGCGCAAACCTATACCTCTTTTGCGGTTAATTGCATGAACACCGACTTTCCTTCTACAAATTTTTAGTTTGACATTATCAAGCAAAAATAACTCTGTCTTAACACAAAACTAGCTTGAAATGCAAGCTTTTGTCGCAACAAAATTCTCAAGCACTTGGAGAAAAGTGCTGAAAATATGTTTTGTAACCAGCTTTCTTTGTAAACGCACCCTATCAACTAATGTATGTACAAGAGGGTTGGCAGGTCGACAGCCAAGAGAGCGGGCTGGGAGGCGACCAGTCAACGGCAAAAATGGGGTTGTCAACATTTTATACCCCCATAGCTACAAAACAGCAGTACAAAGTAGTAGAAAAAATCACACTCACAATCGGAAGCGCACAGACGGGTATTCCCCGAGAGTTGCACACAAAGTAGCTATCTGCTCCGCAATCCTCTCTAGGTTGGCCACGCGATTACCAGCAAAGGTCTGGTTGTAAACACACTGGAATGTCTCAGGGGAGTCCAGAGAGAACACCTGCAAATCACAAATACGTTGAACATAGCAAACAATAAGAATATAAAGATTTAAAATTATTTTACATGTATTAAATTTGTACCATGTATACACACAAGTGTGAATTTTTCTACCACTCGTACCGTACTTTAGTCAAACCTAAACTTTGATTTTCTTTTTCACATAAACATCACTATTCTGCTTGGATTGTATCAAGCAAAGCTAGTGGTACGCTGGGACAATACATGAATAAACTGAACTAATAAAATATTGGTACACCAACAAAATTCCCGCCAGGGAATAATTTCGGATTGACAAAGTCACCAACCCTGTCACTGGCTACTCGATGATTAAGCTGTCCGCAAAAACCCCAATAGACTTTTATCATTTTTAAGCTAGGTACCAAATATTTTAGAATAAGTATATCACTGCAAAGGAAAAACACTTTCAATTACAGTAAGGGAAAAGTTTAAATGATTTTGTACTCCATAGTAAAAATGATTTATCATAAAAGAATAAGAAAATCAAGTCACAACATTTTCAAAAAATTTGAGTAAAGTTTATATACAAATTCAGAGAAGTAAGGTACAGAAGAAACATTCAAGGGTACACTTAAATGGTGTCCAGCAATAGTAGCTAGGGCAAAGTCCAACACCGCTCATGTACTACGATGCTCATGGTGAAGGAAGACCATATTATTATACCCTTTCTAAAAGAAATTTTCACACAGTGCTCAACGCTCAGGCTCTTACTTGCTCGTCACAAGTATATTCACGGCACAACATACTAGAGCTGAAAGCACACAGTCGTCCCATAAAAGTGTCCTCTTACCTTTCTTCTCTTCGATATAACTTGAAAATGTGGACGAGTTTAGTATATAAAAATCTCAAAAGAAAAGCTAGATACCTTACAGGCTACCTATACATTTTAAGTGAAATTACATTTGGTAACAGTGTAAAGTAGTTGAAAGCTTAGTTATCTTACTCAAGCATTTGGTGAAAGAAGAATAAAGGGTGATCAAGCATAGCAGTGAATAAAAAGTACATAAAAAAATCTGTCTTCAACATTTCAATTACATTTTATATTTTTATTTTAATCAAACAAAGTTTGTCAACTCTAAAATAACTTCATTCTACTCTTTGAAACATGTGAAATATTTATATTTCAACCAAATAAAATTGTGGATATCTGAGGGGCTTTAGAAGTTGTTTTGGAACTTTTGAAGAGTTAGTAAATGTTATCGACTTTCATAGAGCCTTATGGTGTAAAAATGTAAAATGTTTATATTGGATTTTTTTTACCTATCACGGTTTATCATCATCAGAGTTAGATTCAACATAGGCAGATTTTTCAATTGTAGAACCACAACTTCAAATTCAATTTCAAATGTAGAAACACAACACATTACACTAATAGATTGGCTACAAACAAGACATGAGCCACATTATTGCCTGGTTAAAAGTTGCGAGAAAACTAATACTGATAAATCTTAATAGGTTAGAATGTCCAGCATATATTCACAAATTTTCACACCATAAGGCTCTACAAAAGTAGGTAAAATTTTACCAATTGTATACAAAAGTGTCAAAGCTAATTGAAATATTTCCAAGAACGTTATAAATATAAAATAAAAATTTGGTGTCATAAAATACATTTTGAAGATTTCTCCTCTTAATGATTTTGTGATGCAATAATACAATTTAATTACAATACTTAACTCCAAACATTTACTTTGTTAGTTACTGCACCCTAAATCTCAGGCCTTACAAAGAAAAGCTTCGGCACCTACCTGGCTTTCGTAAGGCAAGAATGCGATGTTGATTTCTTTTAAGGTCTTAATTTTTTTGGCAGCGCATGATTTGCAGAGTTCGTTGAACAATTCCTCTTGGCAGACTGAGAGAAAGAAAGAAGATTGAGCCCAAGCAACCAGACACACAAGTAAAAGTGTTAATTCACAAACCAGAAACCCACAAACAAATTCACAAACCTGTGGATGTCGTAGAGTCCTGCTAATTCAAACATGTATTATCCAACACAGCTGAGAGGTGAATTTACATTTTTTTCACCCTTTCCGCTCAATCGTCATGGTTGCACGAACTCTAATGCCGGGCCAGGCCCACCCGTCGCTATGACAACGTAGGCTTATGCTTGAATTTTGATTTTTTTTTTGTAAGTATTTGAAAAAAGACCAGCTTTCTATAAATCAAGACAATATTTATTTTTTGGTAAAAAAATGAAATGTGTAAATTTGGTTCAAATTAAATGGTGCTGGTGAGAATATAGGCCTCCAGTAATTGGAGTAAAAAGGGTTAAGGTACATTTACTTCGAGTTGATGGCGAAAAAGAGGATAGTAATTTGTGTAAATTAAATTCTTACTACATATACTGCTGCGTGGCATTTGATGGAGAAAGGTCTCCGATAGAGATTTTTCCTCATTGAGATCTCTTTAATTTACTTAATCTGCGTACCTACAGTATCAGTTTGGCTTCAAATACCTGATACAGCATTACCACAAAAATCCATTGGTTATTTGATAGGAAAGGCGACCATGAGGTCAAAGGAAATAAAAAAGATGGTCTTCTACAGCTTCAGGATTCGGCAAAAGCCTTAGGCTAACGGGCCAAGTCAAGAAGTGATACAAAATATTTAAGTAGCAAGGTGTAGCTATACCTTAAACTTCCCTTCCCAAAAAAATTGTGATTAGTCGGTTTTGGACCTGAAACCCCTGGATACGATTGTACCATGTTTGAACCATTAAAGCCACATAAAATAGAGTTCAAAACAAATTACAAGTGATAAGAAATGTAGGTTTTTTGTTTTATCACTTGGCAGCATTTTTGAATAGTGATAGTAAAGAAGGTGGAAGTGAACACACTACACTAACTAAATGGTACACAAATGGATGAGAAATAGTATAAATGAAGAGGAAGAACGCTCTTACCAGCTTTGGCTTGTAAACTCGGAATTTGAACAGTATTATGAGCTCCAAACAAGACAGAATCAGCAGGACTCTAACACAAATGCCAATTTATTGACTACAAACAGAATGTAAAATGAGATGATGTTTTTACTGTTTATGATGATTTAGTGTTATTTATTAAAATTGTATAAGTTAATGTTAACCATAACCTGCTAATGTTTTTTGGGAGAAAAATTGTTTAGGTCAGAGTTTTTTATTGATTATTGATTGACTATTGTGCCAAATAGAGTGGTTAAGTAGTTTAACTTTTAGCACAATTAGTGAATAAAACAAGTTTGAACTAAGATTAGCTGGATCTTTCAATAATTCTCTCAAAGGCAGATAGGAGTTAACAAAATATCAACACTTTAATTTTGATGTTTATGACAAATAAATTAAATACAATAAAAATAGGAAGCAGGAGAAATTACACACCTTAAAAACACATACAAAAACTGAATGTACATCCCATAACCACACAAAATACTTACTATGAAGAGATTAAATTAAAATAATGCCAACACACCAGAATAGAATTTGAAAAGGGAGATGAGCGTTGAATAAATGTAATGATTACCACGTTACTAACTAAGACCAGCTGACTTTTAAGCCAGGACCATTTTGCTCAAAGACAGCTGCATCCAGTTTCGTCTAAAAAATCAACCGACTTCTCAGAATTAAACTGACAATTTCCTGATTACTGTACAAGTGTTATGTTTTGCACCCAAACCCAAGCAAGCAAGAACCATCACCGCAGACTCCAAACAAAATCTTTTTTACCTGAGACTCATACGGAATGAAAGCAACATTAATTTCCTTTAATGTTTGTATGTGCTTGGCGACATGTGCTTTTTTCAATGTTTCAAACAGCCAGTCGGGACACGCTGAAAAGTAGTGTTTTTCATTCACTTCTATAATCCTTTTCAATGTAATTTTAACAAAAACTTAAAAGGTACCGTACTACAAAACATGAAAAATAATTCGGCTACACAGGAGGTACTATCAAAACAGAGTTTTAGTTGAGATAGACCTTTTCTTCTCTGATGTAAACAAAATGCAAAACAACAAATCTGATTATATTGAAAGCAATTTTACTTTAATTGGAGTTTTGTTACAAAATATAAATATACAAAACAAAGAAAGGAATTTAAAACTAAATTGTTCAGCCTTAAAAAATAACACTTTGACAAACTGATTTTTGCAAAATGCCAGCAAAAGATAACCATCTTCCACAGACATTAAATATAGCTTTACATGATTCATCAATGACTAATCATCATTAAAAGTTTCCAATTACCGTAACAAGAATCACAGTGCTTCCGAATGTTTGAGTGGTATTCAAACATATTGTTACTTTCATGAAGAACTAGTAATATTAGTTTCAATAAAATTGTAAATAAAAACATCATTCATATTTTTTATATATATATTTTTCTTTAAGGTCTTTTTGCCTTATCAAAAAACCGCTATCAGCATAGATAGCGAAAGGCCTCATAAAAAAATGAAATTAATATTGTTGCCCACAATACTTTTCAGTAGGCATCAAAGACTCCAATTCAAAAGTAGTTGGAGTAAGAACACAAAGTTCAAATTTCCCAAAATCCCTTGAGCATAAAAACCCTTTTATATTTCAATTACTAACCACAAAACCTACCTTCAGTAAAGTAAACATGAGCACCGCGGTACATGGTGCGGTTAGGACTGCCAAAGTCGTTCATCAAGGAGTGGACCGACTTCTCCGAGGGCGTTATCAGATAGACTGCCTCCATTGTGGACAGAGGTTCTCGCTTTTTGTTGATATCTTCCACAACTACACACAACACACAGTTCATAACAAATACCAGAACAAAGCTTTAGAAGCTGTTTGAATGTTTTAAAGCTAAATGAAATGTTGCATGGTAAAAAAACCAGAGATGTAAGGAAAGTGGCAAAGATTATAAAAACTATTAAACAGATCATGGATATTTTGCCAAAGAGGAATGAAATCCTGGTAAGTTAAAAGAGGAGTTGTTTAATGCTGTAGGAATAGTTATTTATTTATTTCTAAGGCAAGCAGCCAATTTGTAATTGTACAACAAATTACAAGATTGTAAGATGTTTGATCAAAGAGTTAAGGAGGAGTCTAAGGGATTAAGTTAGTGGGTAGGTAATAAAAAAGAAGTGAACCATTAATTTAAAATTATATAAAAAAAATATCAAGACGAAGTATTCAAAATAAAGAAAAAACAGTACAGTGAATTTACAACATTTCAAAGTTCCTCTATATTCTAAATTGGTTTTCGAACAAGAAGTAAAAAGTTCTATTTAATTGAATTAGAATCATCGTTCCTATGTAAAATAGAGTAGCCTACCATACCATTCTTAAATTGCACTATAGCTATAATTATAAAAGTTTAATAACTCACATTTTATTTAATCTTAAGTTTGGTTACAATATTAAGAGTGCTCGGGTGATTAGTCTACGGCTACACAAACTTTGCTTAACACTTCTTTTATTATGCCTAAATGTAACTGAGTCTTATTCAACCTTCTGCATACCGTTATTTCCGTATCCTGAAAACTTCCTTGAGTAAAACATTCTTAGGTTTAATTAGGCTACAAGACTTACTTGTTATCCCCTCGGCAGATATTTCATGCATCTTGCAGCACGCTGACACCATTCTCATCGCCAGCTGATCCACAACCAACACCCTCCATTGGACCTCCTTCGCACCCTTCTTCTGCTTAATCACGTCGTTCATGATCTCTGTACAATCACGATGTTAAATCATAAGGTTTCAAGAAAGATTGGACAGTGAGATTTAAAAAAAGGAGTAGGCCTACCTAATCTATTTGGGAACTACCTTGTAAGTCAATTGAATCAATAATGTGCCTAGGATACCAGCTGTAGGCTACGTCATTTCGTTTAAAAATACTGAACTGTCTATAGTTTAGCACACAAAGATAAAGTCCAAAGCAAAGTTTTGTACCTGTATATTAGTGACAGGACCTAAACAGTTCTCATCCAGAATTAAACCTAAGTAAGTTAAACCTAATTTCGGTATTATTATCTATGCCTACTACAAACTCTTTTTACCATGTAAGTTAAGTTAGGCTAGGCATAAAGCCACATGATAATGTATGGCAACTTGTAACATAGTCCTAACTTAAGTGTAAAAAAATCAAATGAAGTAAGTTAGAGCCTAGGCCTAAGCTAAAAACCTATAAAAGGTAGAAACTGAAGAAACAATAAGTTATAATGCAATAAACCTAGCGTCTTCTAATTCTGTTCCTGTAATGTCTTCTGTTCCTTTCAAAGGTGCTTACCCTACTTATAAATAACCGGAAACGGTCATTTATTAACAGTGACACTTTATTTTGAATGGGAAACTTTAATAGCTCAACTGAATAATATATAGGCTGGCAAGTAGCCTAATACTTGAGAGTGTTTTTCAGTGAATTAAATTTGCATTTAAAAACCATGTAAAACATTGGTGTGAAAGTGTTGTCGCCTATCTAAAAATGGCAGATAATAGTGTTTGGCCTAAGCTTATCAATATTTAATTGAGATAGCTAATCAAACAGAAAGCCCTCACTTCCCAAACTGACTGGAACCTAATCTGGTTAAATTTGAGTACTAAAATAAATAGCCTACCTAGATAGGGAACAGTAAAACAGAATTCTAAAGTTTCATCTTGAAATAGGCTAGTAAAATACATTAACTTATTGTGATGACGAAATTAAAATTGTAGTGAGAGGAAGCCTAGTGCAAGTTCATTAAGCTTACTAGGCCTTATAGGAAAGGCAAACTTTACTTGTTTATAGTTTTAAGTTATTTTCTCCGATTCTACTTATGTCAGACATATTTTCATGGCAATTAATAAGGACAAAAGAGTACGAGTACATATTAAAACTCATTTTGAAGAGTAAAGAACAAGAATGCAGTGTCAGCCTTACACACCTACTCGTAAGTTACATGACATCATCCATTGAACGAATTATATTGCGAAATACGCATTATTGAATGGAGTGTTTATAACTTATTAAAATGCTTCAATTATAAAAATCTCAATATTTATTTACTTACTTTGTCCTACGACGGCTTTGAGTGACATTTTGGAAATTTGTCGTCTGCCTTTTGTCGATCCAAATGTTTAGAACTTCACTGACTGTGACTGCCACTGCCAGAATCTGACTCACAAACAATAATGACAGATCTATTCCAGTGCCACCATGAAACACTAATAATGTTCACCAGATACTGCACTATACTCAATACATTAGGCTACGTGTACCAAAATCGTAAAGCAAGGACATCCTGTGTTTAATATTTTTAAATCGGTTTAAAAATTCGTAAAATATGTTTCAAAATTGAATGTATTCAATATCAAAAGAGTAGATAGGATAATTTATGCGATTTTTTTAGATATCAATTGATTGATTGATTGGAGGAATTGTTACTATCACCATCAATTAATTGAGATTGGAACGCTAGTTGCCACCTATGTGCAAATTAAAGGATCAGTGTACAATGGAGTGAGATGATTTGATTTGCCTTTTTACTGACTAAGATATTCAGCTGTTTTGTTAGTCAGGATCTTTAATTTGAAGCCCAATGATCAAGAACCATTAAAAAACTAATGATTTTTCGCGGGATCGATCCGGCAACTTTTTGATTGTGATGCGAGTATTAAAACCCCTCAGCTACCCAGCCAGACAATTGTAGCCACGACCACCTTTAACTCCGGGCCGCGGTCTGGTAGAATTGGCAACGTCGCAAGTAGTTTTGTTTAGTGTTTAGTGTCAGCCGTCCCATAAGGTAACATGGCAGACAGAGACAGGTGACATCAGCTCATAAATTTGCATTTTATTGATTTAAAATTATGAACATAAATATAAAATATTTAAAATCCTACTAATATTATAAATGAGAAAGTTTGGATGTATGGATGTATGTATGGATGTATGTTTGTGACAAGTGAACGCATTAACCACTGGACGGATTTTGCTGAAATTTGGCATGATGATAGCTCACATTCCCGATTAACATATAGGCATATTCTTATCTCAAAAATCCTTTCGGGCTCCGCCCCAGTGGCTCTATAGTTCCCCATGTTAACCTTATGAGTATTCATATTAAAAGGGAATTAAATAATTTAGTCAGCTGTTTCAACTAAAAAGTTGATTCTATGATATGCAAAAGCATTAAAAACTTACAAGGATTACCAACAGGGTGCAGCACTATTATTTTTTTTTTATCTATGACAACAGCTAATTTGCAACCAAAAGGTGAGTGAGCGTAGCGAACGAACTTCATCCTGGAGGCGAGTTAGCGTAGCGAACGAGCTAACCTGAAGGCAATTGAGCGCAGCGAACGAGCTCCAACCTAAAGGTGAGTGAGCGTAGCGAACGAACTTCAACCAGGACGTGATTGAGCCATGCGAACGAGCTCACTTATGAAGTAAAACGGGGCAAAGCCCGCGGGTACAGCTGAGTGAGCGTAGCGAACAAACTTCAACCTGGAGGCGAGTTAGCGTAGCGAACGAGCTAACCTGAAGGCAAGTGAGCGCAGCGAACGAGCTCCATTCTAAAGGTGAGTGAGCGTAGCGAACGAACTTCAACCAGGACGTGATTGAGCCATGCGAACGAGCTCACTTATGAAGTAAAACGGGGCAAAGCCCGCGGGTACAGCTAGTAAAACATAAGTACGGAATTGAAAAACCAAACAATATTAATTGAAAATCTTTATCTGTACATTAAAGTGGAGTCAATATTTTCATAGTCCAGTACCGGTAACCAAGCTTTCATAAATGCACAAATACCATTAGCTGCTTCCAACCAAAACCACTGTTACCTACTTGCGCGGCCTGGAATTAAAGGCGGCCGTGATTGTAGCCCATCATGACAGAGGAGTCTAATTCTCTAGACTCAATAGAATTTAAAATCACTATTTTCTGTACAAGCTTTTAAAATGCATCTCTTATAGTCTTATGACACCCAATAGGGTCCTTATCTATTTAGGTCTTGTCCTTTTTAAGGGTGGGCTCTACCTCTGCCCAGATTTCTCAATATGACACTGCTGAATGCCAGAATGCCGATGTTCCTATACCATGCATTGAACAGCGCCATGAAGAGCGCTTGCAAGCCTTTCGAATCTGGGTGATTACATCATTATCCTTAAAGTTTTGAATAAACTAACTGCAGATTCTTGTTTTTAAGAATCTATTGCATTTTCCCAGTTTTTATTTTTTCTCCAAAAATGTTTTGTTAATGATAAAATACCCCCGCCACAGCAAACCTGCAGACTAAGCTAATTTCAACCTGTCTGATTACATTATTGTTACTAAAACATTTCCATAAATAAGACATACAATTTATTTCCCAATTTAAATGACATTATGGTGTGCTATAATTCTTATAGTATTAAGGATTATGCTGGTTCGTGAACTCGTTCGAATAAACGTAGGTTTACACGTTTGTACCAAATTTCATCAAAATCGGATCATTTTTTGCTCGAGTTATCGCGCTGACGGACACACACACACATATATATATATATGAATTTGAACGGATGGTGTTTTTGGCCTCTAGGGACCAAAATGAAAAATTAAATCGGTCCCGAGTCCAGGTCTTACCATGAGTACTACGGTAATAGTTTATTCCCATAGGAAATTCGCTAAAATTTGCTCATTGTTGCAGATTTACTTTCAGAATTTTATATTACCTTCTGGTTTTAAATCTTGAAATGTTAAATGATAGAACATTTTTTATGATCCATGTTAGAATTAATTGTTTCAATGCGGGTAAAACCTCTGCACACACTCTCTCCCATAACACCGATCTTAAAACCAACTGAACAATTTTTAACAACTCATTATGGTTTTTGGAATATTACTCTCATTGATGATAATTAGAATTTTAATATATTGGTTTCTTATCACTTAAGTAAGAATTCAACTCCAAAATTACGTGAAAAAATTAAATAAAATTGAATAAATTTGTAATATTTTGTGATGCAGAAAAAGCATAAAAAAATGCAAATGCGCAAAATGCATTTTGGGCATATGCATGCGCCCTCTCACCTTTTAAAGGTTAAGCACCTGCTCGAGGGTTAAGGAAGGCAATTCAAAAACAATTTCATAAAAAAGCTTTTATTTCCTAGCCTACATTTAGTTTTTAAGCTTTCGTTTGGTTCCCTTTCCTGACTTTGAACTACTTTCTTTGTTGGATGTAGACTGGAACTGTCTTAAGTCTGCACAAAACAATACCTGAAAAGCCATAAGAATAGTCATTATAATGTAAAGAAAAATATGGGTGCTGCAAAAACACTTTTGATGGAAGAAAGACCTATTTATTTAGTGACATGAACATTATCTATGTTTAACACTTTCAAAGACATTTTCTCAAAACCTAGTCTATAAAAAAACAATAATAATCAGGGTAGAAAATCTTTAAAAAGATTTTCTATTTAAAGATTACAAAGGTTATGTTCATGGAAGGCCTTCCTTTAATTATATCAAACTTAGTTTATTGTAATAATTTTAACTACTTTGCATACATTAATTGTAATTACACTTACCGAGTGAGCCCATCCAGCATATTTCCCATACAAATTTTGGAAATGAGACACAATTTCATTGTAGACTTTGTCAGTAACAGTTTTACATGATTTGAGATGAGGGAGATACCTTTGGCTGATTTGAAACACATGTGTATCAACTGGAATGGCTTCCAAATGGTTTAGAGACATTAGGCAGATACAGTCTGCGACCTGCGTAAACAAAAATTCAATCAGCTGGTTTGGAGGTTAACATAATTCAAAGGTAAGTTCCTCCAAGGTGTTGGACTCTGCTAGATCTTGTGCCTTGATAGTGAATGTGGGTATAGGCGGGTAAGCTTAGTATTGAATGTGTTATAATCACTAATAGATAATAGAGAATTAAATTTTTTACCTTTTGGATTCCATGGATTGTTTAGTTATTTAACTATTCCTACTGTATTCATGTTTCTGTATATTGTGAGGGATTCAAACCCTCAAAAAAGACCCTCCTAAACCCTCCCAGCCTGAGAGAAACTGTTAGACCGCTCAGCCACAAGAGCTAATGGTCTAACACTGACAACAATGGTCAACCGAACACCCAGACGTAGATGTAAACTTGATTTCCATGCTACAACACATTTCAAGTACGGTGTTCAACAGTTTTTCATGAGTTATAGTTGCATAGTTTTAAGTGAAAGATTGGTTATGTTTCTCTAAAGTTTGGTGTAATAGTATTTCAAGCTCAAAATGGATGGTTATTGGATGGTTTAATCACATGTTGACCACTGGACACTTCAACCAGTGAAACCAAAAACCCTTTCATAAAATCTGTTTAGAACTGTATTTCTCTTTTGCTGTGGCTGGTCCAATGACCCCCATTTGACTCTGGAAATATAAATTTAAACATACATTTAGCGGGAAAAACGTAACAGAGGTTTTGGACAGTCATAGCCTTAAAATTGGCTTTAAAAGGCTAACAAACACTAAAATATTTAACGCTGAATTTTTGGCTTTGAAAATATTTAATTTTCTGGACCCCCCTCCTATTGTAGAACACCCACTTCGCTCCCCCCCCCTTGAAAAGGCCCTAGAACCACCACTGCACTCTTGGTACATTCACCTTTGCTCCGATTCCAGAAAGAGTCATCAACTGCTGTTTTGCTTCCTCGTATGGCAAACTCTGCAGCTTCTTAAGCCAAGTTTCTCCTCCGTTTTCTAAAATTTGCTTCGCTGAGTGATGAATGTATTTGGCTCTATATCCAAATCCTTCTTTCCGCAGCTTTTCTTCTACTCCGTTTGCAGCTAGAGCGGAGACTGGAGGGAAATTGTAATATTCCGTTCCATCGATCTCCGCAATCTTTTCACCGTAAAACCTGCATAGCTTCTCCACCATTGACGTTATCCTGCAAATGTTTAAAGGACTTAAAAATATATTCCAAACTATAATGCGAAACAGAAAAATGCTTTCTTAGTTGCCAATTTCTAAGCTTGTATTGGTGACTAAAACCCTACAGAAATCGTAAACCTATTAATATTAATTGCTTTATTTTGTGAGACTGTGAAACCACATGAACAATCTCTTCGGTTCGAGTAACTGTGTTGCAACATCAAATTTACCAGCACAATTAATTCTTGTACTGTACCAACTCACCCCTTGCTCTGCTTGACATATGTTCATCATTTGACTTTTGAGGTCCATGTGGATGATTTGATTAAGCAAGGATGGAAGAGTCTTCCAACCCTTAAAACAATTACCAACACAAATAATCTTGTAAATAACTAACCTCAATATGTTGTTGTTGGTTGAACATATGAAGGAAAATATATTTTCAACCGGGTCTTGCTTAAGGACACGGATTCCATAAAACTCCACAGCACTTTGTTTAAAAATAGGATCCCGATTGGACCATTCAGAGTACAGTTCTTCCAGGTTTTCATTGAGTCTCAAATATTCAGTCAGCTGTTTTTCAAAAGTGTCTTCCTTTTGTGATATTTTTTCTTCTTTTAACGTTCTTTTACGTTTTGCATTTGAATTGTCACTAGGTGCTGAGGAACCACAGAGAACTTCATAAAACAGCTGATTGTCTTGTTGCGAAAGTTCCCAGACATTACTGTTAAACACTCCTCTCCATTTCAAAATGTTGGATTCTGACTCGTTTTGTGGTAATTGCTGCCATCTGGAAAAAGATTACCTCATTAATTAGCAAATAATAATAATTAATAATAATAATAATAATAAGGGCTAGATCAATTAGACCTATTGTTGAATATCTTGTCGAACATCACCTTGGAATTTGTAATCAAGTTTACTTTCAAAAAACTGTTTGTAAAAAGTTTTATTTTTATAATCTTTATAGTTATATTTTTTTTATTTTACACTTTGATTATCCAGTTAGGCCTACTAGTTTTTTTTGTAGATAAATTTACTGTAAAAAAAATGGCAAAACAATAATTAATTTATTACCTAAGGTTTTCTCTCTATATAACAATTAGAGCAAAAGTCTACAAATTTGGTAAAATTAATAGCCAACAGAGGGTGCTACAGGTTAAAAGGTAATCACTAACTCCACTCAGCTTATATAGTTTTATCTTTGTTACTTTACCGTAGGCCTAACTGTAAAAAAATACAGAAACACCATGGTAACAACAATTATAAATTACATAAATAATATACCTGTTTTACAAATTCATGACACCTTCTAGGCCTATACAACTAAAATATTAACTATAATTTGATTCAACATCAATGTTAAATTAACAAAATGTCAAAACAACCCAAGGGACCGTCCAGACCGTCGCTGGAGGATCAATTCATCAGGTTCGCCAGCCTCGGGGACACCCGTGACAGTCGAGGCACGCATATAACTCTTACTCAAGCAGACAAATGGATGAAACAAGCAGCCATATTGGACGGACGGAAGGTAACTTACACAGACACTTCTCATGTTTTCAATAAATTCCGCTCCAGAAGTATCCAGTATCCAGAATTTGTTGAGTTTGTTGAAGAACTTGCAACTGCAAAGCGAATGAGTCCTGAAGATTTCAAAGAAATGCTGATCAATGCAAACTTACCTGGTACTCAAATTGGAAAGGTATGACTAAGAATTAAGTCCTATTAAGGTAGGTTAGTTATGAATAGGATAGGGTTGTACATTAAGTAGGTATACAAAGTTAAGTTCTAAAATTTCCAAAAATTCTTGTACGTTTCTGAGTTTATCATTGACTATTGGATACTGAAGTAGACATACCATCTATACGGACCAGCTGTAGTCAATTTTCTATTAAGAAATAACATAGTTATGTGAAATGTGAGCCAGTCAAAGAATGCACTAGTGTCTAAAATTCTACCTTATTTTTTGTTACTGACCAAGTTCATGACACTTGCTAACAATAAGTCATTCCAAAGTTCATAAAGTCTATTCATCAGAAATTTAGTAAATTAAAGCAGCACATATCTGTAGGTGGCTCACATCAACTAGCCTACGATGATTTTAATTTTAAAACCTAGTGACAACTGTAACGTGGGGATGGAATCACAGAATGCGCTGGTGACTAAAACTCTCTACTTTGTTTTTTGTTGCTGGTCAAGTTGATGGGTTGCTATAGCTCACAAGTCATTCCATAAGTTTGAATTGGTAATTAAGATTGTTATTCGACAGAAATTAGTGATTTAGATCAGAGCAATCTTTCGGTGGCTCACATCAACTACAACAATTTTAGTAAAAAAAAAAACTGGCTATAAATTTAATATGGGGATGGAATGTCTGGGTTTAATGTTAAATCCACTTAATACTTAGTATTTTATAACAAATCCGACGGGACTGAACAACAAATTCAAGGATTTGTTTCAAAGGTTGTGCCAAGGGTTCAATTGAGAACCGTTCAATCAATATTGGATGAGCTCATCCATGACTTATATATGACTATGATATTTCAAAGTTCAAAACCACATAAGCTTATTTGATTTTTTCACAACAACGCCAACTAAGTTAAGGTGACTGAATGTAAGTGTTTAATAAAATCACACAAAACGTTTGTTCTCCTCTATAAAAATAGTATTTCTGGTTGACAGTCCACAACAACTGACATGATATCAGCTCAATTGTGGCAAAGGAATCAGATTTGTAGCGCTTTGTTATACCGACATTCAGACATGGACTATTCATTTTGTAGAGGTTTTTTTTTGCCTTGTATGTAATTAGAGGTTGATCATTTATGATTGATTTCTAGTGTGATAGAAGTGTAGTTGAAATCAGCTAAGTAAAAGGACTAATGATTAACATAAAACCATTGTCAACCTTTAAATCAGTTTATAACCTACACAAATAGTTCTAGGGCTACAGTAAATTGAATTATCTACAAATTAATTTTTATATTTTTAGGATGAAAATGACAAAGTCTTGGTAGATGAGAAAGAGAAAGCTGAGAAGAAGACTGAATAAGAGGCCTACAGCAAAATATTTGACCTTCCAGATAATAAGGAACAGTTTTTAAGATGTACTAAAGTAGTATCATAACAAACTAAATTTATTTTTACTTAGAACGGATAAATTTAGACATGATTTTACTGTAACTAAAAAAACAGATAAAATTATTCTGATTTATAACTAAGTTGACGTATACCGGTACCTACCTAAAGCATTGACCTCCCATCAATGTGGGTTTCAACTGAAGCTCTTTATCTGCACATTTGATGACACCTTTGAAGATACTCTGCGTGACTTGACTGCTTAGGTTTTTCATCACAAATAAAAACCTAGAAGACGAGATTTAACTTAAGTTAATGTTGTTGAGAGGCTCAAACGATATTATAAGTAGACTATCTTAACTCAACAAACCATCAATGCAATCAAAGTAAACTGATTTAGAAATAGGCCTATAAAATGTAGAAAGGGAGAAAATATTCAAGTAGGCCTAAGTTAGAGACTAAACAGAGGGTAGAGTTTTGCAGAGAACAATATGGGACTACTAAGTTAAATTGGATAATATTATCATTCGATGTTATCCCAATGGCTATTAAAAACACTAAGGTTGCACTTTAGTTTACGTCCTACATTTACTATTATACATTAACTACTTACCAGCTCATTTTAAAATGAAACTGTTCTAAACTAAACCTAACCTTAACCAAACTGCAGTTTGTAAGTAAATTTAGGACGTATACTTAAGTGCAGCCAATACCGTACTAAAAAAAGACCCTATGGCTTAAAATGTTCATATTCAATACATCAGTGAAAATAATATCCGATACAATAAATCTCATTGGATAACAATATCCTAGGTTCTCTGCAAACCTGTACGCCTAAACGCACTAAGTTAACCCAAATATGTTTTCTACATTCATATGCAAAATTACTGACTCAATCTAACTTAACATTCATTGGTTCAATTCCTGGCACATCCATAAAACTTGAGTTTGGACCGCTTTTCTTTAAGTGTTACAGCTAACTTTGACTTGGCGTAGGCAGGAGAGAAAAAAAAGAAACTTGTAAGATTACAAAGAAATGCATGAATGTCTAAAATCTTGTTTTGAGCCTAAAATTTGAGCCACTAACATTTTCGCTTCGATAATGAAGGTAAATAGCAGTAATAAAATTTCGGCTGCACTTTACTTTAGGTCCTACACTCATTCGAACGAAAATATCGATCGACAGATTGAATAATCGATATTTTCATTCGAATGAGTGTAGGACCTAAAGTAAAGTGCAGCCAAAATTTCATTTAATAGGAAATACAATAAACATTTTATAGTCTATTTGAATTAATAAAAAGCAAGTACCGGTACTTCGGCTCTCCAGTCCTATTGTAAAATCCTCTAAGGGTCAAGCATAATTATTGAACCAAGCATAATCATAGCAGTAAGCTAAATAAATAAGTAAAAGCACAATTCTGACCAAAAATGACCATTCAAAATAAGTAAACTTGCTCGGGTACAGGCTATGCTAATACGGATTGAAACTATCGATTTGATTGTTAAACCTTGATTCGATTTTTTTCACTATCAGCAAGTTTGGTTAGTTTGGTTAGGTTATGACAGTTTAATTTTATAGGCTAATTGATATTGTAAAAATAAGTTATCAAAAGATGTTTTCAATTCGATAGTTTCGATTGATATTAGCATAGCCCAAGTCCAGTTGTGAAACTGTACCCACTTCCACCTGCTCTTTGATGGCTAAGGCTAACTTAGTCCTATCTTTACATTGATTAATTAATTTTTAATTTAACAGGAAAATGGTTGCTTTAATTCAATACAGACCTACACCTACCTTGATTTGTTTGATCTGAATGTAGTTAAGAAAGTCGTTGTCGTTGGGAATATTAGCAAGTTACTATTAAACTAACTGAACTGTATTCCTTTTAATCACAAACTTAACCTAAAACTTTGACATTGTATTTGAAAATTAACAAAAATAAAAATAAGAATAAGAATAAGAGTCAAACTTTTTGAAAGAGGTTCAAATTTAAAAAAAAAATCTCTTGGTCCCAATTTTTGTACCGCAATTTTAGTGGCGAAGATAAGTTCCATGAAGACGTACTGTTCTCATTTTAGTCGTCCTTCTTAAATGTTGTTCCGTATTAATGTTTATACAAATTTTTGTATAGAATACTCTATTGGGACATTGAAGGTATAATTTGGACTTTCAGTGTGATGATACATCAAAACACGTAATAGAAAGAAATTAAACACACAATTTGAAGGAAGTGACATGTAGCCTAAATATTCCACTATATATATATATAAAACAATGCACTCCCTTAGTAGATGTCTCACCTCTATGGAACAGCAAAATCACGGCCAAACAATGTTATTGTTACTTGTTATTTCTATCCTATGCACTGTAGGTGGAGGTCGTGTTTTGTTAAAAATTATTTTGTTTTTTTCTATTTCGGATATTTTAAAACTTGTTTAACCAAATAAAACTATCTAATCACAAGCAACTCGTCTCCTAATATAATATAACCAAGCAGTAAAGTGCAAATCATGAAATTAACACTAAAATAATAGAAACAAAATTATTTTAATAGAAACAAGAACACCTAAAAAGACTAAAGGATACATTTAACTGCAATATTAATAATTTACTGTATAGGCTGCATGATTCCATTGATTTTAGCCTGCCCAGTAAGAGACTTTGACTCAGGTGGGGGTAACCACCTGTATCAAAACAAGAGTGTGTTCCCGCAAGAGACACACCTGTCGACCTGTCAGATCAGATTAAAGACCAAATCAAACAGGCACACAAATCAACTAAAGGCACACAAATCAACTAAAAGATAAGTGAGATTTTACTGTTTATCAAAATGTCACTGAAAGCAGTTGTAAAACAAAGCAAGTATTTGTATTGTAATTGTTATATTTTGTATTAATTTAAAATAATTTGTATTACCTTGAATATCCAACATAATTGGCAATTATAATTAATTGGCCTATTTTAATTTATAAATATTGTAATTGCTTGCCATTATTCTTTAAACTGTGTCCTTCTTTAAGATATTCACTTATCATCATTAAATTTTCTAGATTAAGTAGTACCTTCTGTATCCAATATAGTACAGGTATCTATAATATTGTTTGATAATGTGAAAAATATGAAATTATGAATTGGGGTACAGTTCCGCAGAGAATCCATATATTATTAGATGAATAACAATAAATACTGACGTTTATGCGATTCAAATATATTATTACAAAATATTGTTTATTTTTCCCAGCGTGAGATCAAATTGATTCATGATTTGTTTACGTTTTTATTTTCAATAGGTAGGGCTACTGTTGATATGGGGACCACATAGAAATCGAAAATTCATGCAATGTGTTAGAAAAATAAACTAAGGATAAAATAAAGAAAAAGCTTTTGATAGTGTTTCGTTATAATTTTTAATTATGGTATTAAATTTGATACGATATATTCTTATCGAACCAAATAAATATTGATATATTTATCATTATAATATATCCTGGGTTATCTGCGGAACTGTATCCAAAAATTGTTTTTGTTTGTACCCTCTATAGGTTTCATGTTGTTAATCTTCAATTGGTTTATGTAGACCAATGTATGTTCATGTTATGAGTACCGAGTACCCGTGGGTAAAAGTTTAGGCCTACCTCCTATATTTAAGGCAATATTATGTTATGCTCTTTGCTTATACAATCCGAGGACGAGAAATACATCATAAAAAGACCCTTCGATTTGGACGTAGAAATTTAAAAGTCAGCAAACTAGTCCTATGATCACTGATCAGTGACGACTGTATTAATATCCTGTGTATCATAGCATAGATAAAAATAATTAAATATAGACCGTCAGCTGTGCTGCGGTTACCATAGGTTCTGGCGCACACCGCAGGGAGCGCCCTGTTGTAACGGCATATGCTACGTAACTACGCGGCGCTTCCAGTGGTCTGCGTCAGAACCCATGGTAACCACAGCACGGCTCACAGTCTGTATTTAATTCTTTTTGTCTATGATCATAGTAAGGGGAAATGTTATTTTTTTATTTTTAAAACTGAGTTTATTATAATAAACTTTGCCTATAAGAGACAGTAACAATAATAAGTATTTTAATGTTGTCCATAATATAAATGATTTTGAATGATTTTACATGATCCTTTTAACACTTTTATGACCATTTCATTTTTTTATTTTGATGGAACATTAGGCTATATTTTTTATAAATTCGTCAAAAAATGTTGTAATAGTCCCTCTTGCACCAATCATTATGCCAATAACTGATATAGAATTTAGATTATATTTGTTTCTTAAATAATTTTCACATTTACTAAAAATTTTTCTCTTTTCTTCATCTACTTCTAAGGGTTGGTTTTTTTGATATTTCAAATCTTATAGTTGGATCAATTATAATTCCATTTTTAGTTTTTGTGTCATATATTAAAATGTCCAATCTTCTGTTTGATCCACCATCTTCAATGCAATGTATTTCTTCTACTACTTGCCAGCCTTTTTTCCGTAGTCCTTCTGCGATCATTGGTCTTACAGTATGTTGTCGTGCATTACGCAGTAAGGCGCCAAAGGGACAAGAGCCAAGGACATGCGTACCTTGTAATGATTTAGCGTCTGAAGCTTATTTGGGTACTCAGTGATTAAAGTTATTATATAAAACAAAATCAGAAACAATGTCTGAGAGATTACTGCAGACATTTTCTATCAAGATCAGTTAGTAAAAAACCAAGTTTTTAAATCATGATGAAAAATTTTCCGTGATTTGTCTCATGGACGTCATTTACTGACAAACTCTGATTAAAAGAAAATAAGATATGTGAAACGTTAGTGTCGCTACTTCTATTCCCTAGTTGTGTCAACTTCCTTTGAATTTTGCAGAAAACAATTTGAACTTTATCCAATGAACCAATATTTTTTAAATTGCTTAAAACTGAGGGAGAAGTTCCTGTTAAAAAACTACTTTTTAGGCCACAACCTATTAGGCCTTAAGACAAATCTTCCTTTGATATGCTGCAAATGCAATTTGTAAACCATCCAAAGAATTCTTAGTATATAACCAACTAAATAACTTGCATAGGCCTCCTTGAATTACAAAATGATGCTGTACAATATTTCATTACACACCACTAAACTATTACAGAGTAGGGAGCAATTCCTGAGCTATAAAAGTGAAAGATCCAAAATAAAAAGCGGCGTTTACACGAGGCCATAGAGAAGAAAGGTTACTTGCCTCTAATGTATTTCAAGTTTCCTGAGGCAAGTAACCTGTCCGCCAACTCGCCAACTGGCTTCATGTAAAAGAGGAAAAGTATACTGTAGTCTATTATTTTGACGAGAATTACACTCACTTGCATCATGGATACCACAGAGCAATGGAGGGCAAGTTTACGGTGTCTAAAAAAGTGAATAATGGTTGACTGGATAAATAACTATTTAAAAGAGTTTATTTTGTATTTTGTGTATTAGGAAAATAGGGATATTAAATTAGGCATTAATATTTTTATCTACAAAAGTTTATTATCAAATTCTAACATTATTTGCTGCAAGGCTTTTAATTTAAGAAACAACAAATCTCTTTTAGGTACCGGAGAATTGGTCCTAAATTATCTCACTAAAAAAAACTGTGTTGCAGCAACAACAATTACAGTAGGCTAATTTAAGTCTAAACAAATTTATACAAGTTAATTTGCAGTTTGATAGAAATGTTTTATATACTCTAATGGTTATAATAAATACATTTTGCTTGACAACGATTACCATAAAATGTTTGATGATATGAAAGAGTTCAGTAGTCCATACAAAAGTTATGAAATCAAAACTCTGAAGTAAATTACAAAATATGTTATTGATACGTAGCCTATTGAGTAGGCCTAATTATTCAAAATACGAGGCATGTTTTTTAAGTAAGTACCGTTTTTAAATTTCTCCGTTGCAGTGCTGCGATTGGCATTTTGGACACTTTCGCTGTAAATGTGCATCTATTGGCAAGCCCTAGCCGGAAATTCGACAAAAATCGGCCGTGTTTACATCCGGTATCGAGCATTCAAAATGGTGCCGCCAATTGAGACTCCCGCCGACTGTGAAGTGCGCGCTGTAATTAGAGTTTTAAGTGCTAAAGGTGTGAAAGCCATTGAAATTTATCGACAGATTAGTGAGGTGTATGGCGAGAACATTTATGAGTGACGGAATGGTACGCAAGTGGGTAAGGGCCAGCGAACACAGAATGGCATCTAAAGACGGCCCCACCAACGTCCATCATGAGCAACGCACTGGGCAGCGTCACTGTCCCCAGTACCCAGTGCGTTCATGAACGTTGGTGGGGCCGTCTTTCAATTCAATTCAATTCAATTCAAATTATCTTTATTCATCAAGTACATTAGAAATATACACATGAATAGTGTCACATTTTGTATAAGTTATAATAAAAAATACATGCTTATAGTAAATGGGAAAAATTGTAAAAGAACATAAAACTAACAGTTAAAACATACTTTGATTAGTAGGGAAAGAAAAGTCAATTACAGTTCATCAAATGAATAAATAGCCCTGCTAATGAGAAATTTCTTAAGTTTATTTTTAAATTTTTTTATATTTACTTCTGCTTGTATGTCCTTTGGAAGTTTATTATAGAATTTTGTTCCGGCGTATTTGGGTTTTTTTTCGAAAAGGCGCAATTTATGAGGACTTAAGGCTAACTTGCCTCGATTTCTTGTAAGATAATCATGTTTCCTTCCAACCAGCTCTATTTCATGAAATCTGTTTTTAACAGATACCACTGTTTCAAAAACATACATACCGAAAACTGTCATTATATTTTCTGTTTTAAACATTCTCTTAACAGAAGTTCTAGGTGGAAGGTTGTAAATTATTCTTATAGCTTTTTTTTGCATTCTTAATATAGATTTTAAGTTTCTCTT